CGGTTCGCTTCTTGGGTTCGTCTCTTCCCCCTCCGCCGTTGGATTTCTTCACCGGCGGTCGCTCCGGCAACCCTCTGACGAAATCCGTACTGCAAACCCAAGTCTCCTTTGAAACTTCCATTGATAACTTCGGTTCACACATCATCAGAAGCAGACAATCCGGTAACACCTTGTACGGCGTCGTTTCCTTCTCCGTCGCCTCCGGTGGATTTCCTCTCTTCTGCGGAGCCGGATTCGGGTCGAGTTCCGGTCTATCCGGGTTGTCTGGGTCTTCGGATTCAGATCTTTCTTCGTTTTGAGTTCCAGAAGCAACAATGTCTTTGTCTTCTTCTTCCCTCTCTTCCTTCTTTCCCTCTGCCGCCGCCGTCAAATCTGTATTCACCGGCGGCTGTTCGTCTTCTTCTAACGCGTTCATGATATCATCTTCGATGTTTCTCATGAACGTTGCTTCCATTTCGTCCTCACACGAGTCTTCTAGGGCTTTTGACTCTTGCCCTTCATCGACCGAATCTTCCATGACTTTTGCTTCTTCCTCCCCTCGTGAGACCAGTGTGGATTCTGCTTCTTCTACGATTTCAATCTCCGGAATCATCTTGCCGGAAATCCATTTCTCGCAAATCTCGATTCGCTTCTTGTCTTCCATTTCCAGCTCAATCCTTCTTCTCTCGTCAACTTCATCTACTGCTGCACCATTGTCATCTTCTTCCGCTTCCGCGCCGTCGTTCAGAGACATTTGCGTTTCTCGGACTCTGCTCGCGAGCGCCGCCACCTTCACTGGATCGGATCTGCACCGCATCAGCAGCAATGCGTTCGTCGGCGGAGCGCAGATGCCGATCCGACCGGCATCTTCTCCTTTCTCTTTCTTCTCCGTCTTCACATCTAACTCACTGAAGTCGAGCCCCTCGAACACGTGCCTCCGGCGACTCCTCCGCCGTTCGTTGTGCTCCACTTCGTCTTCTCCGCCTACAACAAGTTCTATCTCCCTTCTCTTCCCTCCCGTCTCTTCCACCGCCACGAACCACCGAGTGAACACCGCGCCGCAGGAGCTTCCGCCGCCACATCCGTCGTTCATTGGCCGCCTTCCGTCTCGATCCCTGCGGTGGCCGTCGTCCGTACACGAGGATCTGCAGGAGGAGAAGCAGTTGAAGTCGGAACCGAACGCCCTGAGAGACTCGCAGATCGTCACCGGAAAATGCACCCACCGGTTCTCGCTCGCGTCGAAGCGGCATCCTCCGGCGCCGTCGTTCTGTTCCGAGGATCTCCGGAAGCTCGTCTCACCTTTCCTCCTAGATCTCGCTCTCATCTTCTTCTTCACATGCTTCCTCGTCTTAACTCTAACCTGACCGATGCACGTCACCTTCGGAGACGACGGCTCGGGATTGTTGTCGTAGCCAGATCCAGATCTCTTCCGGCCACTGGCGCCGAACATCGGCGAGGCTAGAACTCCTCTCTTCAAGCTACCGCTACTGCGGAGGCGACGACTGATGGAGGATGTGAGGGAGGCGGAGCGAGCGGGGCTGAGGATGGACTTGGAAGAGAGTCTCATGGAGGAAGAAGAAGAGAGGCGAGAGGTGAAGCAGATAAAGAGGTCAGTGGTGGTGTTGTTGTTGCTGCTGTTAAGGCTTGAAGATCGATGGGGTCTCTCCGCCTCCGCCATTGTTAACTTCTTCGGTAAGATTCCTTTACCTTCGGGGGTTTTTTTTTTTCTTTTACAGAGTGAGTTTAGCCATGGGAGAGATTTGTGAAGCTCTGTTGTTGCTGTTGCGTTTGTCCTTGAGGGGATTTAAAAGTCTGGGTGAAATGACGATAATGCCCATCTTATCAACAAACAATACCCAAACTGCCACTATATCTTCAAAACATAAATATTTCTATTTTTTTCTTGTTACATCGACCGTTCTGTTTAAAGATCTCAACAATCACGAAATAAAAAATAATATACTAATTGGATAATAAATATGATTTTAGTTAGTGAGATATATAATTTAAAATGATGGTGACGTGGAGATAAATAGGCAATTGGAAGGAAGTGGGGGCCACAGGCGAGATGAAGTGAAAGGCGATAATTGTACGTCTGTGTACAAACATGTGCGCACCGGTTCTCTTGCTTTCCCAAAAATACACACCCACACATGCATCTGTGTGCGCGTATCGTATCTATTTTTATACAAGGTGAAAGTAAACTTTGGATATTTTTTCAAATCTCTTTTCTTAAATTTTCATATATATATATATATATAAATTTTAATATTTGGTTATTTTTTATTCATATAATTTAGTAAAATAATATTTGCTTTATTTTTTTATAAAATCCAAGTCACGCAATATTATAAATTACATGAGAAAATAAAATAAAAAAGCCTAAAGAGATATCTTTTTAATAAGAGTGAAACCATAAAAGCATCCAAAAGGTCGCACGTGACCCTAAACCGAGGGATAGGATTAATGATTCTTTATATTATATATATTGCTTAAAAACAAAAATAAATTTCTTATTCTGTGTTTTTTTTTGGTACTTATGAAACGAATGGCACGTCGTGTCGTTTTTTGCGCACTGAATGAAGACGTTGGACCTCGAGAGCGCAGCCTCTGCTCTGAAATGAGCCCTTCTCTCACAGCTTAATAATATTGCAATTTATTTTTTTTTATTTATTTTATGAATTACTTGGACTCACACTTGACATATTTCTAAGTTTATTTAGATAATGAAATAAAACAAAGTCTTTCATATTCTCTATAACATCCACCCACCAATCCAAACATAAGAAATGTACTCAATATTATTCTCCCTACAAGATGATATGTTTTTAATTAAAGAAACACTCCCTCCATTTCTAAATAAATATTGTTTTAGATTTTATTACAGTTTTTAAAAAAAATTATAAAAAAAAGTTATATATATTCTCATTAATCCAACACATTTATTAAAAAATGGAGGGAGTATAAAGAGCAGGAAACTTGTTATTAAGTGCGATCCAAATGTACAATCAAAACGCCTTATAGATAAAAACAAAACAAAGACCCGAAGAGGGCGTGACAAACACGCGCATGAGGCAGCGCGTGGATCCTGCATATGGAACGTTATAAAAGGATGGGTGACGTGGCAGAGTCAAGGGGTGTTTGACCACGACCATGACTACGACCAGAGACAGAACAACTCAATTTTAACACTAATCCATGTTTATGCTTTTAATGACTCTTACTCTGATAATTAATTTAATTAGAGGTACAATACACAAACACACATTGTTTATAATTTATTAGTGATATTTATTAGGGGTGTAAAAGGGGCGGGTCGGGCCGGGCTCGGGCCGGGTTCGATTCGGGCCTAGATATTTTCGGGCCGGGCCGGCCCGCCCATTTATTTTCCGGGTCTATGATTGGTGGCCCGGAGCCCGGCCCTACAGGGTTTCGGGCGGGTTCGGGCCGGGTTTCGGGCTTTTTTATTAAATAAAAATATTTTTCTATGACGATAATAATAATAATAATCATAATAATAATAACAATGTGAAACATTCAACAAAAATATTTTAAAACCAATAACAATTAAGTATTTAGTTCAAAAATATTTTTAAAACCAATAATAACAAAGTATTAGTTCGGAAAACAAATAAAGCTGAAAAATTTAGTTGATTGATCAATTCTCCGACACCACCTCCGGCAAGATGACCATAGGTGACAATGAGGTTGATAGAGTGCCGTCAATACCACTTCTAGAATCTACACAATACGACAATTAAAGAAACAAATATAAGTTAAACACTTACACTTAGAAATATAAACAACTAAACAAAATGGATAACAAAAATATAGACTTTACCATATTCTTCGAAACCAAATAACCAAGAACGAGTGCAAAGGAGAGCTTGGACATTTGTAGGTAAAAGGCGACTTATGTATTTGTTTAAAACACGAGAACCAGCGCTAAAAGACGACTCTGAAGCAACGGTAGTGATAGGAATACTGAGAATGTCAGATGCCATAAAAGCCAATGCAGTACCATATTGTGCTTCATTGATCTTCCAAAACTCCAAGATATCCATATCTTTATATCGATGTAAATCTATAGTAGGATCCTTTAGATATTTATCCAAATCCGTTTTTAATCCATCGTCTAAAGAAGCCTTGGTTTTCCATCCACTTAATTCCTAAATCATATAAAAAAATTGAAAACATTACAATAGAAAAAAATCTAATAACAAAATAAGAAACACAAATTTAAAAAGAAAAAGAGAACTTACATCAAATTGAGTCGAACCTTGTTTATCCTCCTTTGAACTGTTATCTTGTGAAATAGATAAACTCTTAGAAGTCGATATCCCAAATCTTTTTTTGTATTCTTCAAAGATTAAATACATCTTACTCTTCACTTTATCCACCTTTGATTGACTACTTTCCTCGTCAAGTTGATCATAAAAGAATTTCAATGCTTCCAACTTCATCCTCGGATCAAGCACAGATCCTATGACAAGAATGATACTATATTCTTCCCAATATTTATCGAATTTCACCTTCATTCTTTCAGCCATGCTTTTAAGAAGCTCGTCTTCACCTCCTACATACTCTTTCAAAAGCATTTCAATCTTCCAAACTTTCATGAAATACAAGTTAGAAGTCGGATACTTTGAACCAGATATCATCGTTGTAATATCATCAAACGGCTTCAAGAAGTCACGTATTTTTTCTCCCCTGATCCACTCTTCATTTGTTGGACAGAACTTGTAATTTCTATCAATCAAAGCAAGGCTACTAAAAGCATATCGATGATTGAGAGCACTTACAAGCATCATATGAGTAGAATTCCAACGTGTTGCCACATCCATACACAAAGAAGCTCTAATATTTCCACCAACTTGCTCCACACATTCATCAAACGCTTTCATCCTTGCCTCTGACGCTCTAACATATTTCACACTTTCTCTAATCTTGTCTAGAGCATCACTAATCACCTTCAAACCAGCTTGCACTATGATATTCAAGATATGTGCACAACATCTGATGTGAAAGAATTCACCTTCGCACAATAAACTATTTTGCAAAGAAAGTTGGTGTTTCAAGATGTCTTGCATACTATCGTTGGCTGAAGCATTATCCAACGTGAGAGAAAAAATCTTTTTCTCTATTCCCCAATCTTTCAAACAACCAAAAATCTTCTTAGATATCTCTGTTCCTGTGTGAGGGGGGACTAATGTACAAAACGACAGTATCTTACTATTCAGCTTCCAATTCTCATCAACATAATGTGCAGTCACACAAATATTATTTATTAAATTCATTGTATCGAAATACACTAATTTAAATATATAAGATTTCTTTAAAAAGTAAAATTATATTTTTTCGGTTTCGAAATAAATGATATTTTAAATGTTTTCACAATAAAAAATATAAAAAAATATATATATCTTTATTAATTAGTACTCTATTGTAATTAGTTATTTTTACGATAAAATTGTAATTTTTTAAAAAAATTATCTAAAAAATTTACAATTGATAACAAAATATATTCTCTAAAATACTATTTATTCAAATAGTTTATTACAAGTTTTTTTCTTGAAGAATGAATACACTTAAAGAATCAAAATTTATTCATGGATGGATGATTGTCTGTATAATAAAAATACGGTAAAAAAAAATGTATTGTTTTAAGGTTAGGGATCCGTTCTGGCTTATTTTGATTTAGAAATATTTTAACTCAATCCAATCCAATCCGTTTTTTAACAAGCCAAAAATAAACCATTATAGTCCAAATCACCTTAACACATGAGCCAAACGAGTCGACTCACGAACCAAATATATAATTTTAAAAAATATTAAAAAATATTTAAAATATTTAAAATATAATAAAAAAATTTAAAATTTTAAACAAAACAAATTAAATATCTAATAAAAATATTTAAAAATATATAAAATTTTAAAAAAATTAGAATTTTTTTTTTTGTTTTGCGAACCAACCGTATACTTGTCGAATTGGCTCACCACAAATCTGACCCATGACGAACTGGTTTGTTTGACCGTTTTTTACTCAAATATTCTAAATCCAACTCAAAAAAATTATGGATTAATTCACGAATCCGCCCACCAACGGGACTCCTCTCACATCCCTGGTTAAGGTATGAAGAACGCAGTGAACAACACGCGCATGAAAACGCGTGTGAGTCAACGTTGAGGGTGGGTGGTGACGTGGCAGACTGACTTATTAAATGGAAGACCAAAACCAGACAAAACAACTCATTAACATTTTGCATGTTCTGCTTTTAATGACGCTTGGGACTCTCTTAATTATACTTTTTTTTTTGTCTACATTAATTAATTTAATCATAATTAATTCGAGAGAGAGAGAGACTAATTAATTACACATATAATGTCAAATCATATGATATCTCTAATTACACATGAGGCTTTTTTGTGTTTTGTTTCATTAGTGAGATTGATACCTATCATCAATGCCACATTAATAAGATATGTGTTTTATTCACAGCCATTAGATTATACTTTAATGTGAGATCATGTGTATGTGTCTGTGAGCTGACTTTGCCCCCACACTTTTGGATTAGTTGGTTTCATATCAAATCTTAAAATTATTAAACCTAATTGTCCCATAATGTGTGTGTATATATATACACACACTGTGAATAGATAATGCAAATGGGATCATGGCTTTTGTGTCTCCAATAATATCCACATGATAGGATGATGTAAAAACATATATTTTTTTTTATTGAAACTTACTACAGTTTACAATGACAATTGTATTTTTTTTTTTTGTTACAGGATGTTATATGATGAAGTTTAAAATTCTAACTATAGAGGCCATTTATGTCCTTGACATCACTATCTTCAGGCAAAATAAATAAAAATGACATTTACCGAATTACTTTTAAAATTAGAAATTAATTTATTGGATTGATGTTATTTAGAGAGTAATTTAAGTTTTACTTGCTATATGAGATAATTAACGAGAATATTCTAAAAAATTATCTAGAATGTCCTATTATATTTCATTTTTTAATCTTTTTTTATTTCATATTATAAATCAATTGCTTTTATATTTTACCTTTGTAAATATAATATCATATTTCTAAGTTTAGACAGCTCATCCCATAAAATGGAAACACAAAACAAATCATTTATCTCGTCCCGAATTCGAATCTCAAGTTGAGAAAAAAAGCATATATTTTAATCACATGGCTATCTTCGGATCCCAAAATTAGTCTAGATTTTGACTCAAAACATCTGATTATCTAAAAAAATATAATATCCTATACCTTACTATCTTTTTTTTTTACTTTAAACAACTATCACATACAAAGTTACAGCATATAACAATTTTCACAAAATCCGCATTACTGCATTTATGATTTACCCACCACAAGAAAAGAGTAACCCTTTGTTTTCCCCTACGGAAGAAACTCTTCAGTTCATGCAGTGTATCTAAAGCCTGTTAAAGATCATTTACACAAACTCCATATTGCAAAGGTAATTCTAATAAAAGGATTTATTGTTCCGTTTACCATCAAGTTCAGAGCTCTAGAACAACTTTACCCGTAATCTTCTTCTTCTCCTTCGCCTCGTGAGCCGCTATCACTTCCGTGATCGGAAAAGTTTTCTCCACCGGTATTTTCAGTTTCCCGGTTCCAACCAACCGACGGATCTCAGCCAGACCTTCAGCGTCGACCCTCATGTACGTCCACCAATAGTCTGTGTTCATCACAATTAACAGGTTCTAAACTCAAATAGTCAAGTTGAAGAATGTAGACTTAACTAGAGGTGGGACAGAAAAACCTCCGAAATTTGGGTACCCGAACACTATGAGATTATATCGGGTATTATTTTTAGGAAAATCCAAAATTCGGGTTTGGGTATTAATGTATAAGACGAGTAATTATCCGCAGGTATCCAAGGAGTAGTTAATGTATGGCTTTACCCCTAGATTTTAATTCTATTACATAAAAACATAAACCTAGAGTTCCTCCTCTCTTACCTTTAATCTTACCACTTCACATATTTGCTTAAATATTGATACATTTGGAATGGAATGAATTTTAGATGATTCCTTATCACTTCATTAACCCGCCTCTTTCATGTTTCCTCACACATGAAATGAACCATGCTCGGAATATTCGGTGTTCGATTATATAAGATAAATCTAATGAAACATAAGTGGAGCATGCATCATATAGCGGGAATTATATCATACCTATTCCATGGGAATAACGGTATTGCATCTTTTTCTTCGTGTAGAGCGAAGTAGCAAGAGGAAGTCCAATCACAAGTCCGTACTTATCTGTCAATGAAGCAGTCTCACCCTTTTGCACAGGAGAAAACAATTACTATTAAAGCACCAATCCAAGACAATAAACGAGGTTCAAAAAACACGAAAAAGGAATCGATCAACCAAAGAAAGTGATATATACCTGAAGTGTCATATAGTTTCCGCCCTTCCTCAAGAAGTTTATGCCAATTCTTTCTGTTTCGGGCACACCAATAGTGTCCAGGACAGCATCGAACTTTCCCTTTATCGCCAACTCTATGTCCTTTACATGAAAACAGTTCCAGAGTTGTCACCAGATCATCACGGTCTGGCTGTAATGAGAGTTTCCATGGACGGATGAGCAGATGAATACACGATTTTAGATGCTACCTCAGTTGTGTAGTCAACAGCTTGCTCAGCACCAGTGGCCAGTATTTTCTCTTTACTCTGACCCCCACAAGAAGCCGTGACATGGCAACCAGCTGCCACCATGAGCTGAATCGCGGCTAAACCCACAGCCCCTCCTCCTCCTATAACTAATACCCTTTGTCTGCAAAAGAAAGTTTCAAGACAAAAACAGCAGTTGAGTACATAACAAGAAGCAACTGTGAACACAAAGGGTTTACTAGTATATGTATTCTGATGCAGAATCATACCCTTCAGTTACACGAGCATTACTCTTCAAAGCACGCCAAGCAGTCAGTGCTGCGAAAGGGATAGCACTTGCTTCCTAAAAAAGCGATAGACAACCAAATGGTTACACAAACGAAAGAAAAACATGAGCCCGGTAATCATAAATCTTTAGTATTATAAAAGGGTTAGTTCATCTTACAACGTGAGAAACTGATGATGGTTTTTCTGTGAGTTCATCTTCTGAAAGAATCCCATAGTCAGTATATGTACCCCTAAGCGCCGTAGGGTGCAATGCACCAAAAACTTCTTGGCCAACTCTAAACGACTTTACCGAACTGCCAACTGATGCAACTTCACCGCTGATATCGCGACCTAATATAATGGGTAGATGTGGTTCGAACACAGAACGGCCATAGCCAGCTCGCATCTAAGATCAAATAACATTTGATATCCCAACACCGATTCAGTATAAGCACAAAATTCAAATCATAGTTTCACTACTTCCATTGTGCAGTACCTAGAAAACATTTTGCTGCAAAGGTCTGAATATGATCATCAATGGTAAATATCCCTACTTGATTGAGGGGTTGTGAAATCGGATGTACAAACTAAGTTCTTCAAGTTTCAGACATTTTCTGGGTGAACAAAAATTCTACACACTGACAACTATCCAGAATCTGAGCAAAACCCCAGCAATTGAAACAAGATCATGCCAATTCTAATTCCTGAGTCAAGAAGATACCCGATTCTATCGAAGAACAAATGAAATCGAAAGTGGGACAAGAAGAGGAATCTCTCACTCTGCAATCAAGAGGATTGATGGAGACAGCTCGCGCGCGAACAAGAACCTCGTTGGGCTTAAGATTCGGCACCGGAACATTCTCCCGGAGCTCCAGAACCTCCGGACCGCCGAAGCGCGGCAACATCACGGCTCGGCAACTGCCGGTGAAGATGCCGCGAAGAGAACTCATCCTCAGCGCCCGCGGCACCTGCCGGTGAAGATGCCGCGAAGAGAACTCATCCTCAGCGCCCGGAAAACGACGCCGGCACCGGAACCGCCGCGCGATGACCTCAAGACTCGCATTTTTCCGACGTCCCGATCCGATCCGTCTTCGTTATTGCAAATTCTGCTTTTATTTCTTCTCTATTTTAGGTCTTTCATACAAAAAAAAGGGACGTGGCCTTGTTTGCATCCGCAGAGCGGCCAGATTGTACTTCCTTCTATTCATGGAGCAACGGTTGGTTTACCGGTCTGCTCCGTACCAAACCGGTTTACAACTATATGACCCAAAAACGAGCTAATTTTACGCAATTTATCAAACCAAACCAAAACCCAGAATTCTTACGTATACCAAATGAGATTCTCCGGTTTAAGCTGGGTTGAGAAAATTCAATCAAATTCACAGTGCTGATGCATATAGATGGAATACCGAACCGGGAAACCGGAATACTTCCAAAAATAACATGGGCCTGATACGGTTAGGTGTATTCAGACATTCCGTACAATGACAGATATAGAACATATGCTCCGAGTTAAATGCTCAATACAGAATGTGACAGTGGCGGTTCAGTAGGAGCTAGAGTTGCACATCCTCAACCGATGTGACAGTGGCGGTTCAGTAGGAGCTAGAGTTGCACATCCTCAACCGGCCCAGCCGAAATTGGAGCCGAACTAGAGCTAGGTTGAACCGAATCAGCGGCTGCAGTGGTTATAGCCGCACCACTGGAGTTGGGTGCAGAGGAAACTGACCCGATGAGGTCCAAGCCGGAGGATTTTGTTGTGGTTTCTGGAGGGGGTTTGTGGCGTTGGTTCGAGTTAGACGAGTCGTTTGGAGCAGTGTGGAGTTGCTGCAGCCTGTAATCTGTCTCTGGCCGCCTGCAAATCTTCCTCAATGGCACGATTTCCTGCTGGCAAAACAAAAAAAAAAAAGCGGAAATCGGCAAACAGGTGAGACGTGTTTTTGTGTATGCGTGCTCGTGAAATCACGAGGGTAGGGCGAGAAGGAAGACGTTCAGAAAGAAATGAAGTTTCCAACCTCGGATTGGTCATGGCTGTACCGAACCAAAAACCTACACCGACAACCTCGTACATCATGTCTCCTTCTCTGTGCGTCGAGAACAATGGCGTCAAAGTACAGAGCTTGATCTTTACCTTCCTGAAAACAGACGCGTACACAGTATCAAAAAATACGTATGCGTCAAGAGCGAGCAAGAAAAGAGACCATTTTTCATGATCTGGTGATTCGGGGAAGAAATTTCAGTACCTGAAAACAGAGTATGAGGTCTCCGGGAAGAACTGCAACACATTCCGATGCCTCACATGGGAGTGATCTCTGCCTTACATGTTTCTTAACATTCACCCACTCATCCTCCTCTACTCCAAAACCCGAAAACCGAACCTGCACTTCCTGGAGTACCCGACAAAAGGATGAGAGTAATTACGAGACAGAAGTCCCTCTCAAACATCATCAGGGTTTCATATGAAACTACCGGGTCACCAGTCTCGAGGTTTCTATGAGCTAGAAAAGCTTGCACATCATACCTGTGAGTGAGTAAGAGAGCAAGAGCTTGGATGAAACGAAATCGAAGAAAATGTTCATGCAATCAGACCGTAATTACGATGTAAGGGAGTAATTACCATGCACCGTCCCTGGCTGATTTAGCTTCAAATTCCAAGTACGAGTTCTCAGAGCCGCCCCTTGTAACGGCAGGAACTGAATTCGATAACAAAGAAAAGACAGGTTTCAGCACAAAGAACAAACAAGGACAAAACATAGACAGACATAAGTACTCCATTCCACTTGCGGTTTAAGCTAACAAGAGAAAAAAAAAAAGTTAAGAAGCAAGGTTTTTCGTAAACCAAAACCCAAAATATAACCGAAGATTTCGGCCATACTAGTAGCAAAAACAATATAGATTTTAAGACAAATACAGAACATAAAAGAGAGACGACTAAATTTACCCGAAGGAGAAGGTACATTTGCAGGAGCCTGGCTGAACTTAGGAACAGGGATAGGTTGAAGCACATTCCTCGTTTGGCCATCAACCGGCATAGAAGATACATTCAGTTTCCCCGGAGGTTTATTCCCCCTCGCTCTCAGGGCATATCGTCTGTTCTGGAACCAGTTCCAGACCTATGTTGGAACACAGACAGAACTCGCATCAAGTAAAACTTGTTCCGATTAAAAAAGGGATATGAACCGAAATAGGAGAAAACCCATTACTTGCTTGAACTGTACAACGATTTTCCCTTTCCGATCAGCTGACTCGCTACAAAAACAGATGAACAAATACGTAAACAGTAGATGATTCTTGACAAAAGAGAAAGTTAAGATCACAGGCCAGGAAACATCACATGCCTGAACTTATCGGCAAGAGCTTCGAGAAGATTCCGAGCTGGCATTGCCGCATTATGCTCTTGCAAAATCGCTTCCATCTCCGCTACCTTACCACATGTTCGATGATTATGACAACATCAGAAAGAGTTCACTTAGAAGAACACAACCAAGGCAAATAAGAAACTAATATGATTAGGAGACAAAACCATGGGATAAATTCCTGAAAGAAACTACCAAAACAACCACAGAAGACTTGAAAATCGGGTTTTGGGTATAGGAATTTGATGGACTTTTAACCTTGGATTTAAGATAGTTTAAGACCCACTTGAAGTTCTACGCTGAATAGAACCCAAATTCGTCGTTTTTTCTGGGGAAAATACCATGGGTTTAGTGAAATTCCATGTCCAATAAACCCTTCAATCCGAGAGAGGAAAGATGAAACCCTAAACCAAAGATTCCCTCAAACAACTAGCAAATCATCAAGCAAACCAAGTGCATCATTGTGGGAAGAAAACAGCCGTCGAAATCGAAACCTTCACAAGTTATTCTCCGCTTTGGCTCGGTTTTACATCCAAGAGGCGACTCATTGTGGGAATTTCAATCAAACTGGTCCGATGGAGGGTAAAAAATCAGAACCCAAAACACTACGACGCGGACCAAACCTAGAAATCGAACCGACCCAGTCCGTAATTCCAACAAGGTAGGACCAAAACACATCAGATTGTAAGAGAATATCACCTCCGTCTGAGTGAATCGAAACGCGGGACCGCCATTACTGGGAGGCCGACCCATGGTGCGGTGCGTTTACCCTCCTGCTTCAGTGAAGAAGAAGAAGATGGTGATGGAGAGAAAAAATAGAGACGGAAAAACTTTTGCTATTCAAAATTTCCGGGAAAATAATGGCCGGGAAACGGAAACCCAAGTCAGATACAAAAGGATTCTCGGACCAGAGCAACAGAAATTTCTTTCATACATATGACGTTCTCTGGGTCTTTTGCACTCTCTCCCTGGACCGGGCCTTAGAGAGAGAGATTTTCTTTGTGGATTTGTGATTGGATTTTGACACGGACTAGCTCCGCTTCGGAGTTAAATGTAAAAAGTTTTTGGATTTTTTAAAAACTATAAAAAAACCCCACAATCAAAATTTTATAAATTCAACATTTTTTTAAACTTAAAAAACTAATTTAATAAAAAAAATCAACTAAATACTTAAAACTCCAATTTTTTTTTAATTTACAAATAAAACAAAAATTTAAAATTAAATTCCAAAATCCAAAAACTATCTATGAGTGATCTCAGTTACTTGTTATCCAGATCCCTCGCCTCTCAACGTCACCCTTCCATCTCTTCGGCCAGGGACAACTTCTATTATACCTTCAATGTGCTAAATCAACATCCACTCATACCCTTCTCCTAAAAAAAATTTCAACTTCTATTATACCTTCTTCAATAGATAATGACTAAAATATCCTTAATATATTATATTATATAAAAAATCCTAAAATGTAGGGTTTTTCTCTCTCCCCTTCTTTTCGGTATCTCTCTCCTCTTTTTTTGAGTTTCTCTCTCCTATCACTCTCTCTCATCGAATTTGGCCACTCTCTCTCCTACACGTTCTCTCTCTTCTGTTTTTTTCATCAAAATCGCTCGAAATCAAAACAAAATCAGTGAAAAATTAGTGAAGAGTTGGAAATAAATAATCAATTGCGAAAATCTTATTGTTTTTCATACACATTGATGGTTGTGGGTGTTATTTTGATAAAGAATGATGTTTTTTCCACTTCTTTTCTTCTACTTGGTGATGTTTGTGAAGTTTTGTCATTTGTTGTATGTTATTGTCATAGATCTGATTTGGATGGTACCAGATTCACATGGTCACATGGTACCATGTTCACATGGTCACATGGTACTAGGTTCACATGGTCACACGATCACATGATCTCCATAATAGTCGGATTGATAATAATGGTCACATGAGTTTAAATTAAATGGTCGAATGGTAATAATTATCACATGGTACTATGTTCATATGATCACATAGTCAAGAATAGTGAGGAATGGTAATAATGGTCACATGATACTATATTCATATGGTCACATGGTCACTGTGTCCAAAATAGTCGAATTGATATGCATTTTGTATTTATATTTTCTATAACTATTATAGACGGACGAGATGAGAGATCGACAATTGTATATTTTTTGTATGATGGTAAATGGATAGTGAATAAGAATGGAGAATATGAATGAGAAGGAAATGTGATGAAAAACCAAAGAGTGTTGGAAGTTACTAGATCCGGCTGTAATTGAAAGTTGCGTACGACATTGATTTTAAATTCGAAATGTTGGAGTGTAAGAAAACACAATCTCTTGCATAGTTACAAACCCGTATCAGAATCAAGTAAAGATATGAGGGGTACAAAGAAATTGGAAGACAAACGAAAAAGTGGAAGACTTAAACAAAACCGCTTTTCGGGTCCTAGTGAAGTCCGAAAGCGGATCCATGTCGCAACAGGAATATCAACATCAACAAAGTTTGAGAGAAACCCTAATTTTGAATGAATAAAGAAATATAAATTGTATAATAATGTTATATTATATCTGTACACTAAAACATTAAGACCTTTGTATAATAATGTATTAAAATAATATATTATAATACTTTGGTTCCATTCTACATATTAAAAAACAGTAAATAATTTATCTCATATAAGTAGTGGTTGGGTCCCATGTGACCAATGTGACCAATGTGCAATTTTACACTATGTGACCATTGTGACCGGATGTGACCTGTGACCAAGTGATAAAGGTAAATACATGTGGAAACGTACTTTTCAAGCTTTGGTCTATTATTATAAGGTATAAAGAACACAAATATTATGTTGATGACAAAATTACAAAACATTAAAACGAGTTTGTAATGTAAAAAGACCAAAATTGTCAAAATTCTTCATAAAAGACTATGAACACTAATGTATCACATTTGTGAGAACTACTTTTGCACACAAAATTCGAATAACTCAATTATTATAGTTAAATATAGTTCAAAATGATGCATATGGAAGATGTGATGACAATCCGATCGATTCATTTGAAAGAATCCACTAAATCGACCCTTGTGACCAACTGTGACTGAAATATTGTGGGTCCCATTTGAACAGTAATATTTCTGGTGGGGCCCAGTGTAATCCAAGTGTACAAAAAAGTTACGGTTGACAATTCTTCCCTGATTTTGGTGGGACCCAATATTTTTAACCCATATTTTTTAGCATCCAATATTTTTTAACCCAAATTTTTTTTCCTCCAAAATTTTTCAATCTAAAACTTTTACCTTCCAATATTTTTCATCTCATATGTTCAGATATAAAATAAACATAAAACATAATATCATAACATAAAATTCTGTAGATTTATAATAAACAAACAAAAGGTCATAACAAAAAAAATAAGTTCATAACATAAATAAGTTTTTTATTCTACTTCTCAACACTTCCATTGACAAATATGGCGGTTGCAAGGAGACAAACCGTGGAAATGAGATGACTTAACTTCTGAACTTCCTTTTCCACATTTTTCCTTTACTCTCGATTGAAAATCATAAATTTGGAGCACCTTCTCATTGAAATCCACTTTAATGTTGTTTTTGCATACCCAAGTGGAATTTTTTCGCCACCTTATTGGCAGTTATAAACTTGGAGCACTTCATATATTATCTCTTCAATGTGCTACAAAAAAAATATGTCAGCATTCTGGATCATGTCACCATATGACCGTGTGATATGGTACCATGTGACCGAGTGACATGGTACCATGTGACCGAGTGAACATGGTACCATGTGACCGAGTGAACATGGTACTATGTGACCGAGTGAACATGGTACCATGTGACCGAGTGAACATGGTAATGTGTGACCAAATGAACATGGTACCGTGTGACCGAGTGACATGATATATGTGATTGTGTAACTTGTGACATGTGACCATGTGACCAAATAGGATAAACTCTCATGTGACCGTGTAACATGGTACCATGTGACTAGGGGTGTAAAATGAGCCAGAGCCCGCGAGCCAGCTCGTAACCCGGCCCATTTTTTACCGAGCTGGGCCAAGAAAAAGGGAGCCCAAAAAAAACTGGGTCACACGAGCCAGCTCGTTTTAAGCCCGAGCCCAAACGATCCAGCTCGGTCAGCTCGCGAGCTGGCCCGTGAGCTGGACTAAAAAAATTAGGGTTTCTTTTTAGTTTCAACTTTCCATGGTCTTTTCTTTTTTGGGATTGTTTCGCTCGATGACTCTCACCTCTTTTCTTCGGACGGTCTCCAGCTCTCTTCTTCTCAGAGATTTCTTTCGACAACAACATCATCTTTGTCTCCTTTTCTCTTATCTCCCTACTGATTTCGATCTCCCTACTGATTTCCTATCAATCACGGACACAGATTCACCGACGATTTCGACTATTAACAACTCTCGCGTAAGGTACAGTAGGTTCTCTCTCTTTCACCGAACATACTCAATCCGATCCAGTGGTTCTTCTTCATTTTTCATTGGGTTTTTATTTTTTTTGCATAGATCTCAATTTCGTTCGAACAGATTTTTGTATTGTAGGTTTTGTTCTTCTTCGATTTTTTAATGGAATTTATCTTGGTTTTGTTCTATATTTATATTTAATGAGTATAATATATAGCACCAAGTGCTCGAAAGAGATATCTAAATCACGTGTGTTTGATATTTTGGGCCAATAGTCAATGCTCATGTCTCTCTATGTCTTGCAGATGAATTCATCTGAACCAGTGGATTTGATGAATACTGATGGACAAGGTACAAATATTGCAGTTGAGTGTGTCACTCAAGACAAAGAAACTTCTAAAAAAAACGGAAAAGGTTAACATCTGAGGTATGGGACCATTTTACTAGAATTAGTTTCACCCATGTTGAGTGCAATCACTGTCAGAAACCATACGCTCAGAGACCTAATGCACATGGGACTTCAACTTTGAAAAGGCATTTGAAGCATATATGTCTGCATAAGCCATTGATAAAGGATGTTAGGAATATGTTTAGAGATGCCGAGGGACATATGAAGATAACCAAGAAGTTTGATCAACAAATTGCGGATGAAAAGTTGACTAGACGCATCATCTCTCATGATCTCCCATTTGCTTTTGTTGAATATGAAGATCTAAGAGATTGGATTTATTATCTGAATCCGGAGTTCAAGTTTTGTTGTAGAAATACTATTGCTGCTCGGGTTTATGAGTTTTACTTGAAGAGTAAAGAGAAGATGAAAGATGAGTTAGAACGACTTCCCTGTAGGGTATCTTTAACTTCTGATTGTTGGACGAGCATCAATGGGGAAGGATATATCTGTTTGACAGCACATTACGTGGATGAAAATTGGAATTTGAGTAGCAAGATATTGTCTTTTATTGACATGCCACATCCACACATCGGTGAAGCCTTAGCTATTAAGATTCATGAATTTTTGAAGGAGTGGGGGATTGAGAAGAAAGTTTTTACCATTACTTTAGACAATGCTTCGGCTAATGACTCTTGCCAAGAGATTCTCAAAGAGAGGCTTTGTTTAGATGACAACTTATTGTGTGATGGTGAATTCTTCCATATAAGATGTTATGCACATATTCTTAATCTTATTGTGCAAGAAGGTCTGAAGACGCTTGGTGATGGTATATCCAAGATTAGAGATAGCGTCAAATATGTGAAAGCTTCAAGAGGAAGGATGAATGCTTTTGAGTTATGTATGGAAGGTGATAGTGCTAGTGGAGTTGTATTGTCTTTGGATGTTTCTACCCGATGGAACTCTACATTTCTAATGCTTGAAAAGGCACTCAATATCAACGCACTTTTAATAGATTGAGAGTGGTTGATAAAGGTTACAAGCATTGCCCGTCGAGTGAGGAATGGAGTAGAGCGGAAAGAATATGCGAGCTATTGAAGCCGTTTTACAATATCACTAACTTGATGTCTGGTTCAAGTTATTCGACGTCAAATCATTATTTTGGACAACTTTTCAGGATCAAGAAATTGTTGAGGATGAATGCGAGAAGCAGCGATGATCATATCAGAACGATGACTCGTAGTATGCAAGAAAAATTCAACAAATATTGGGAACATTACAGTGTTATACTTGCTATGGGTGCCATTGTTGATCCAAGGATGAAACTTCAATTCTTGAACCGTTGTTTGACTGATCTTGATGCAGACAGTGCTGAGGAAAAGTTGAATCTTCTGAAAAGTAAGTTATATATGCTCTTCAAAGAATATCAACTCAACTCCTCCATGTCCTTTGGCACCAACTTGGAAAATGCAGAATCATCTCAACATATGTCTTCTACGAGGGATAATGGAAAAAACATCAGTTTACTTGAGGTAGTTTTATATTCACTATCTTTTAATTATAGTTTTATATTCACTATTTTTTAGGTTTTCAAATTTCTAAAAATTCAGGATTTCTATGAGTACGATGAACCCGAAGCTCAAAGGGGTAGAGGAAAATCTCAGTTAGACAAGTACTTGGAGGAAGAAAGGATGAGAATGGTGGATTATCCAGATATAGATGTATTGAAGTACTGGAGAGATCACATACATCGTTTTCCCGATGTAGCACAGATGGCATGCGACATTCTAAGCATTCCTATAACTACAGTAGCTTCGGAATCATCTTTCAGTCTTGGCTCTCGGATTTTAAACAAATATAGAAGTCGACTTCTTTCTTTAAATGTACAAGCGTTGATTTGTGTTCGATCTTGGCTAAAAGGATTCAGTGCACGTGGAGCAGGTGAAGTTTTACATTTATACTTTTCATTATTGGTTTTTAAAATGTAACTATTAACTTGCATATATTTATTGTTGTAGATGTTGACGTTGAAAATGCTAGTCAAGATGATGAAGATAATGTAAATCAAGGTGGTGGGAGATGAATTAAGTGAGACTCTGACTAGCTTTGCCTTCAACAAGGTTGTTTTTTGTGTATCAGAGTATATCTAGTTGTTTTTTTGTGTATCAAAATATATAGTTATTTTTTGTGTATCATATTATATAGTTGTTTTTTGTATGTCAAATGTATGGAACCTGACCATTGTATCGAGTTATGTTTGGTTGGTTCCTATGCCGTTATTTTATTTTGTATCATTTAATCTATTATAATCTATAACATTGTGATTAGAAAAATTTTAATTGCATTTCTTTTTTTTAAAATTATCTGGCTCACGAGCCGGCTCGGCCGGCTCACGAGCCACAGCGAGTTGGGCCGGGCCGAACATTTTTTGGCTCGATAAAAAACGGACTGGGCTGGGTTGGGCTAAAAAAATTTGAGATCGTAACGGGCTGGGCTGGGCTGGGCCGAGCCAGCCCGTTTTACACCCCTACATGTGACCAAATTAACATAGTACCATGTGATCATATGTTACCAAGTCACCGTGAAACTTGTGACCAAGTGACCTAAGACCATGTAACCAAGTCACATGTGACCATGTGACCTACTGTCCTGTGAACTGTAACCATGTCACTTGTGACCTGTGACCATGTGACTAAACCGATCATGTGACCTGTGACGATGCCACCTAAATCACTCTGTAACCTGTTACCACATAACTTAAATCAGCCTGTGACATGTGACTTTTTCACCTTGTGACCATACAATTATGTGACATAAATTACATTGAACTCTATCCCCTATATGAGTGTGATCCAAATTAACATATTATTCATCATCCAAATATCGATCCATACATCCATGTGACTCAAATCAACTCGATTTTAACCATTTCACATCACAATCGATTATTTGACTTCAATCCCAATATTTTATTTTGAAATCTAAAAAAATTCAAAAACATAACCCTAAATTTCTATCCATCAAATCCTCATGTCAGCACTTAAAGTCAACATAAATTTTTTTTAAAATCTAGCAAACTTGATAAAAAAAGAAGTAATCTACCCGATGATCGTTTAACTCATTAATTTGTCTTCGGTTCTCGATCTCGTTCGAAGATGTCGATGAAGATGAGTATTGGGCTGATGTAGAAGTCTTTTTTTCGTTTGCGACGTCACTTCTTATTTGAATCGCAGAAGAGTTTAATAGATAGCGAGAGATTCGACTTTTCCAAATTTTGGGTAAAGATTCAACGATTTCGGAAGAGAGAGAAAGAACATATAGCAAGAGGTAGGAGATAGAAAGATTTTCAGAGATAGAAGAGAGATGCATCGTGAGTTTAGGAAAGAGAAATAACCACATTTTTGTTTTTTCAATTTTTTAAATTGTGAAAAATATTTTTTTGTCTTTTTAGATTTTTATAAGAGTCTAAATGTCTTTTAAACTGTGTAACACTTTTTTTTTAAATTTTGATGTTAGAGGGTATTGACAGAAGTACGTAAAGTAGTCAAAGAGTACTTTAGATATATCCCCCTCGACCAGATACCCGTCAATACCCGAACCTTTGCTACTCCCACGGGTATTCAGATCAAGACCGGTACACTATAAAATTTGGATATCGAGCCGGGTATGAATACGAAGGAATATCATGGAATCCAAAACGATGATGCATTGCCTCAATGTTGAAGATGATAATACTAAATTATCTACACAGGAAGAATCCAATTCCCTCAAAATCACAATGCACATACACATAACAACGGGTTTTCAGTGTCATCTAGCCCCATGAAGGATCAACCACACCCCTTTTGAGCTTTTCAAAGGTGTTTTTCATCGATCCATCCATCTGCATTACAAATAAACAATGCATAGCGAACCCGATGTCTTTTGGTTCTGTAAGAGCTGTAATAAGAACACAGAGGGAAATATCGGTTAGCCAATGAATACGAAAAAAGTTAGCTCGGAAAGTAATATATGAGAGCGGCTGCTGTGATGAACTGCAGGAATGAGCAAGATTCAAGTTCTATCATCATGACGAATCAGGCAAATGGCCACTTCCCATCAAGCTCCGAGACTTATCAAGAAAATGCTTCATGTCACAATACGATACTTCCCCACTAACGGTTCACGTCCTGCAAATTGCATCACGTCCTGCAAAAACACACAGCATACGCTCAAGAATCCATCAAAGTAGAGTGCAAGAACCAGATCCAGGTTTACGACTAGATGGCAGAATGGGCGGCTGAAAAGGGTATCAAGCTTGTCCATCCGCTTCCCTCGAGATTTCCTTTTCCCTGTTTGTAACTTTCGAGAGATCTGTAGATGCACACCCACATCATAAACAACCCAGAAATCGATATGAAACACTATCAGTAGGGTTCCAGGCAGCTCAATAGAAGATCAGCAACAATAATCCAAAAAGAAATCGTTCCACTTTCCGTATATATTCCTATCAAGAATGGACAAGAAAAGGGACAATAGCATGATACAGTTGAATTGTAGCTCAATACAAATCGATAATCAGTATAAAGAACAATTAACAAAATCATTCCAAAACTGATCAACATAGAGTCTCCAACTTGAAACTTGCCAAGAAGGGTATAACTCCATAGTTGTTCTATCCAACTAGATTCTCGCCAAGAACTGTTTCTAACCATTTAGCTTGTGGTTGGTGTCAGAAGCATTGGCTTCTTTCACTTTTTTCTTTGGCTTACGCTTCTTTTGCTTCTGCTTAATCCGTATTTGATCCTTCACACTTCTCTCCCACTCTCTCCTGTTCTTCTGGTAAAGCAACATTGCCGCCCGTGCATCATCGACCTGTGCCATTGAAGAGTTTCTTACCCGTAAGTTGTCACGGAGTTGCAGATCGGAAG